ACAGTGAGGTGAAGCCCTGAAGGAGAGGTGGGCTTGATTACAGGAGGTGCTGTCCCAGCCCAGACAGGGAGTCTCTGACCCTGACAACTGGAGATAGAGTGCCGGGGGACAGGACCAAGGCATGCAGGCAGCACAGCAAGCCCAGGAGAGACCGGGCTCCTGATTCCCCTGTCAGTGCTGAGACCATCGAGCTGTGCTGCTGCAAACTGTGCCAGGCACAGTGTCTTGAGCTCAGCTGCATTTAGGTTGTTTTCTGCTTCACCAGGCACTCACAGGTTCCTCCTGGAGAGCTGACTTGCTGCTCTCCCATCCTGCCCCTGCCCCTCCTTTCCCCTCTCACCCCATCTCACAGTAATAACCATCAGTTTTTAACAGCATGTCCTACACTGGAGGTTTTGTAGTTCCAGCTTTTAAAATGATTTAGTGTGACAGTTTACTGCTGAATTAAAAAAAAAAAAAAGGAAAAGAAAAAGGAAGAGAAGAAGCAGAGAGAAAAAGGAGAGACAGTCCCCTTAAGGCAACAACATTATGGAGCAGTGATCTCAGAGGAACAAGGGTTCTTCTCTGGTTCAGATGTGCTTGTCAGAGCTCAGTGTCGTCTCTGAACAAGAAATCTCTCTTGCTGGCCCAAGGCACAGTTTTGTGGTCAAGAGGACAGAAAATAAAGGGAGGGAACTTCAAAGAAGCAAAAGCTGCATTAGCCCGCTGGGGCGGGTGGCTGCGGCACATCCCATGGCTGACAATTACGACCTGCATGCCGAGAAAGCTTGCCTCCCTCTTGTCAGAGGGATAAGACACAGGCTGTGAGCTTTAGAGCTTTGAGGATGTGTACAGTTCATGATGAAAGATAGCACTTCAAAGCCCTTTGCCTAGAAACCCAGGGAGAAGCGAGAGCAGAGGGTAAGCAATCTTTTTTCCTGGGGGGTGCCTATGCGGGGGAAGGATAAGACTTACTTTCACTGTCATTTATTATTGCCATGAAAATGAAGCCTTGCACTGTTTATGGAATCTCTCATTAAAAGGATCTCTTGATAAATCGCTTGACAAACATTCATTAATTAAGTCTCTGAGCACACTTGGCTGACAGGCATTAGTCTTCATTTTGCAGGAGGGGGGATCAAGGGGTGGGGCTCAGCAAGCCCCCAACAGCCAGGGCAGGGCTGGGGCCCAGCCAGACACCCTGTGCCACCAGACAGATGGATTACACTGCTCCCTCCATGCCCAGCTAGATTCTCATCCAAAGACAGGAGCAACACACTTGTCTTCAACAAACTCCAAAGCCCTTGTGCCCCCACTGCTGCTCAGGGCCCCCCGGGGCTGCAGGGCAGACGTGGCTGTGCAGGTCTGGCTCCTCCATGGGTGTCTCTTGCCCTGGGGGCTCCTGGACACCCCTTTCATCTCACAGGCACCTCCTCACCCACAGCCAGCCCAGGGCTAGGAATGGAGACACCCTGGCTGCTGCCCAGGCGTAACACTTAACTTGACCCAGGGCCCTTGACCTACCAAGCCCTTCGGGAAACAGCTACCTTAAGAGGCCCATTTCACCCTAACCCTGCCAGTGGCCCTGGGTTCAAATGCTGGGGACTCAGCAGGTCACCTGGGCTGCAGCTGCAAGGCTGTTGTGGTGGAAAAGGAACCACCTCTCCAGCCTTCCCTGGCATACAGCAGGTCTGGAGCAAAGAGTGGTGGGAGGAAGCTCACCCACCTCCAGCCAGACCCCTCAGAGAAGCCCACTGACAGAGGGAGCCAGCAGTGAGGACCCAACACTCAAGTCTTTAAAACACAAACTATCCTACATCACACACTTCAAAACATGATCACAGCAGGCAGGAGGAGGTCCTTGCAGTGACTCAGGGGTGACCATCCCTCTCACCTCCTCAGCCCCACAACACATGTGCCCTCCTATCCATCACTGTCATCCCTCTGCCTCATCCTCCCGCCTGGAGACAGAGGGACAGATTTGGCTTTCGCCTACGCCTCCCCTGCCCTTCCTGGCACTTGCCCTTCAGAAAAAACAAGCACTGGCTGGGAGATTCCTGTGAGAAAGGAGCTGCATGAGAGAGCAAACAGACCTTTATTATTTGCTTATTGATTTATTCTCCAGGAGGATGTAACACCCGGCCCTCGGCAGCAAATGCCCTTGTAACTCCGTGCTGCAGCGACAAGTTGGCCAAACAAACGCTTTACTGAGTCAGAAAACAAAGACTGTCAGCAGAGCAGAACAGGGCTTCTCCCCTCTTACTTTTAATTATTATTTCCTTACACAGAGGATTTAATCTCCTCTTCTCCTGGAAGCTCAAAGTGCCCCATTCAGCCCATTTCACAGCTGTGACTGCCGAGGTCACCCCGGGTCAGGACACCTCTCCCCGCAGCACAGTAGTGACTGGTCCCCAAGTGGATGTCCACGCCGTGCATCTGTTGTTGCAGATGAACTGGTGTCAGGAGGAGGAGCACGGCCACCACTGCGGCCCCGGCGGGGAGGGGGCAAAGGCAAACCCTACCCAGAGAGCCCCAGACAAAAGACGCTGCTCCTCCGGCCCTTTGTGCAGCCCTCAAATACGGTCAAAGGTGACATTTTACAGCTGTTCCAGCCTCAAATAAGTGAAACCCGTCTATCTTAATACTTAATTGCATTGCTAAGCTGCTGATAAACTGGGACGGCATAAAACAAATATGCAGGGCCAAACGCATCCCCAGGGAAGTTTGTGGGGACAGGGGGAGCTGCACGACAATGAACTGGGAACTGGGGCAGTTGCACCAGACAATGAATTCACTTCACGTGTTTTAAAAGCCTGGTTACCTTCAATAAAGGCTGTAGCACGGATGCTGCACATTTGCTAGCTAATATCTCTCCAAAAAGGCCGCAAATGTTTACAAAAGAAGGGCACAATGCAAATGCCCACGGGAGAGGATGAGCACGTGCCACGCCACGCATGTGCCCATCAGGAAACCGTGTTAAGCTAATCCCCTCCCCACACAGCCACCACGGCTCCAGCCCCGGAGAACATGGCCTTAAATCAACGCTCTTATCTCACAAAAGGAATTTAAGTGCAGCGCTTTGAAAGTCACTTTCTCGCGGCCATATGGCAGCCCCGAGCCCGGTCCTGTTCATTTGCATGTGCGAGAGACAAATCCGGCTCCTGCCTTTCGGGAGCGATAACAGGGCGAGGGGTAAAACTTAGCACTGTTTGGGTTTCTGCATAAAATCTTGCTGAGGCAAATTTCTCTCACCTCTCAAGGCAAGTGCCAAAAGCTGAGGCAGCCCCCAGGAGAGCTTGCCCACGACGGCAGCCCATACTGATCACGAGGCACACCGGTACAGGACCAGGGTAAAAGAGGAGTCTGAGACAAAAGCCATCATCTGAACCCAAAGCTGGCAATGTCTACACCCACATCACACCAAACAGGAACAGGCTGAAGTTACAGGGATATAAACAGCACTGAACACAAACTTCAAGACAGCAAATTCGCAAGCGTTCGCACATTTAACTTCCTGATAGGGAGGTATTTTGAAAACTCATGTTGCTGAGCTGCTCCATGAAATGAAGGGGTGGGGGATCTTGGGCTTCAGCACAAGGAGGAGCCAACAAAGCTGCTAACGCTTCAACATAAGCCTCTCCAGCAGATCTCTGTGCCAGGCATTATGCAGGATGGCAAGATTTTTGTTTTGCCGAGGCAGTGCCGTATGGGCAATCTGGTTTGCCTTATCAGCGAGCCAAGTGAGAGGAGAGAAATGCTCTTCCCCACCATTTGTTTAAACTTCCCTTTTCCCCCCAGATAAAGCTGCATACTTTTGTAAAAATATCTGCAAATGTAATAACATAATAGGCTTGTCATCGGTTCCTACATTTGGCATTGAAAATCTGCAAAGCTTGGAAAGAAAGAGAATTCCTAATAGTTACTGCTGCTGAAGAGCCCAGCTATAAACTGGGCCTGGATCCAGGTGATGGAGCACACAACCACCAAAATGCCTTTCCGTGTCCAGCACCTACTCCTACACAACTGCAAATCGTTCCTTTCTTGGCCCCACTGAAATAAGGCAAGAAGGTTTATTTCATCACTTCTTATTGATGGGCCTCATCTCCCCTCTTTGGGGTATTTGCATGCCCCTAACATTCATTACTGCTCTGAAGCCATTTCATTGTGCAGCTCAGTGCTGAGCACGCTGCAAACAGCCACATGCCCCGACAACCCATTCGGAGCCACACAAACCCCCTCGCACGGTGATGTGGAACCATTCCCAGCCCAAGGCTTTCCATCATGGACCACAGTTTGCCCCCTCCAAGGCCGTTTCTTCGGTATTTTTGCCCAGCATCCATCTCAGTGAGATTATCCCTGGGAACACATGAAACTAGAGCAGCCCTGCTTTATGGCTGCACGGAGCCCTCAGAGGAGGGCTTGGCGTATTTAGAGATATGTCACCGTGCCTCCCAAGGGGAATGTGAACGGCACAGTCTCTTAGCAACACCCAGTGCCTATCACAGGTAACTCTCATTAACAGGAATAGTGGGAGCTCTGAGCTGAAACCCTGCAATGTGCTGATCACCTTCCCCCTCGCTGGGAGAACCTGGACGGAGAGGCAGGAATGCTCCGTGGGCACGGGGGGAGAGGGATGGGCAAGCCCTTGGAGAAGGATACAGGCAGCACCAAAATATTGATTTGATTAAAAGAAATGAGGATTTGATTGTGTTAGAGAGAAAAGCATATCCCCTATGCTTCAAGTCAGCAAGGACTAATTTCTCCTTTGTCAGTAAACCCTCTCTCCAAGACATTTATTACAAATCTTACTGGAAGGGAAGAAATCCCACCCCACACTGAGACAATGCAGCTCTAAATTTCAACTTAATCATCACAAGCCTGTAAAGCTGATCTTTATGACAATGTGTGTGGCCAAACTAAAGGCTCTGGCAAAACTGATGTCTTGCTATTCTCACAATACAGATTTCACAACCCGAATCTCTTGCTGTAAGATAAGGAAAGCATTTCTCCAGGTCACTTACCTTTATTTGCTGCAGGAGAGAACAGCTTCTCAGAGCCTACAGAAGCCTGAAAAAGGAAGAGAAAAAGAGGGTGAATAATACTGAAGGAGAAATTCGGAAGGCTTGCTCACAAAAACACAGCTCATAAAACAAGTCGATTATCTGTAGACCTGCAGTTGCACATTGCACCTGGAGGGTGCAATGTTGTGCCATTAAAGAACAAGCATGCATCCTGAGGAGATGAGAGCAAAGCGTATACACGAGTACTGTCCTGATCTCACCCAACTATATCCTCTTGTCTCGTTTATTTAGGCAACCATGCAATGCACAGCTAATTTTATCCATGATTCCTCGTATAAAAACAAAACCAGTGAAACTGCTATCAAGCTGAAGGAAAAAAAACAAAACAAAACAAACCAAAACACACTTCAAAGGCTCTCTCGTTGAAAATAAGCTCATTTCTTGCTGAACATGCAAAATGTAATTTGTGTATTGGAAACACAAGTTGCAACTGAACACATCCGTATGAAGGAGGGTGTTATTTAATATTATGCCAAATGATTGGTACATGCTGCTATGCACTTAGTTGAGTATGAAATAAAACATCTTCCTCTTGGAGACTGGGTTGCACTATGCTCTGAACTCCACAGCAGTGGATCTGTGCTCCTCACAGCTCTGGGAAATAGTTAAAGAAATCCAATTAACCTAAACCTTGTAAACAGCTTCATGATAATCAGGGTCACTGGGTTACAGACAAGATGATAACGACAGAGAGGGAAAAAAAGTCCGTTCATCGTAAATAAAGCTTTTATGAGTTAATTTGATGGCTTCCTTTCCCCCCCCAACGGATATCAAACAGTCAACCTATTTCAGCATAAGCTTTTCCTCCTCGCCATCAGATAAAATAGCAAGTAGCCTCTCCAGAATCAAAGCTGGTCTGGGAGCAGGAGCACGATCAGCATTACTACATTACTACCATCTACAAGATAGCTGAAAGTATTGCCAACGTGTTGGCACTGACTGCTGCATGAATAAAATGGGGTGAAGTACAAAGCTGACGAGCAAAAGATACTGGAAGTGAAAAACGCCTTTTTCCCCTGACTCTGCTTTAAAAACAATGAATTAATTCAACCCACGGCTGAACTAAGCTGATTTTATTTTTGATTTTATTGATTTTATTCTAAGGTGCCTTGGGAGATTTGCATGATAAAGAGCACTATGAATTGTATTACATTGCTATATATTTTAAATGACGACTCAGAAGGAAAAAAACAAATAGTAAAATGCAAGAAGATCTGCATGAGATATAGTAAGAAGCAAGAGTGATCTTTTAATGTTATTTCCAAGAAAAGTGGCACTGCAAGCACTGAATGTCTTACTTAATGCAAATGTATAAAAAAGAGAGGGAAAACAACATGAAAAATAGGTTGAGGCTGAGACACATAAGAAAGAAATTCTGAATTATGTCCACAACAAAGCTGCACGTGTAGCTGTGGCATGTATGATCATTACACAGCTCAGCAAAAGGATCCTAAAATCTTAGGGAAAATCAGTTACCTGCACGATCCCTTCACTGCATGGATTAAAAAGAGGAAGAACCAGGATTAAACAAGGTTTTGCCTAGGCTGGTTTGCAAAGAAAGTCTAACAGTGTCACACAGCAGCAACAACAGTGGTGCATAAAACGTTTGACAGCCAACTCTGAATTTACAACCCATTGTTAGGAGATTTTTCACTCATAATCAACACAAAGTCAGCACGGACGCAGAACACATCTGCAGGCCCTGGGAACTCACCCACACTAACGCAGCTCACACAAAGCCAGGGCCCGTCTCAAAGCACTCCCTAAGCACTCTGACACATGGCAGGTGGATAAATAAGATTCCCCCATTTTACAGGCAGTGGAACTTCACATGGCTTGCACTAAAGCCCAGGCAGTAAACTGGCTGCTGAGCCGCAAATCCTAAGTGCCGGGTCCTGCTGCTGGGGTGTGGGGTCTCCAGCAGCCTGCTGGGAGAGCTGCCCTTCCCTGGGAGCCGTCAGGAGCAAGCCATGGCTGCAGGACGTGCCACCCCAGCTGGGAGAAGCTTTGTGCTTCTGGTCTGGAGAGCTGGGTCCCACCAACACACGGCAGCCACCAGCTCACTCCCCTTTACCAGGGGCTAAATACAGACTGGCACTGTTGAACTGTGAGCTAAAGATCTCAGTGCTACAGGTCCAGACTATATAAAACAATGTTTAAGGAAGTCAGGCCAGAAAGCTCACTTTTAAGAGAAAGTAAAGCACCCGGATTATTGCTCAGCCCTCTGCTATCAGCACGTGCCACCGCCTTCCACAATCAGAGTCAACATTTACAGAGCAGCGTTTTCAACATCACAGCTCCAGTTCACAGACACAAACCTTCACACCTAGAGTTTACTGTAACTTTTGCTCTCGTTTCTGGTGATTTCTAGCTCCAGATCTGAGCAGTTTTTGGCATCAGCACCATTCTGAAACAGGGAATGCCTGTGCTATAGGATATTCTACAAGCTGCTGTAAAGGCAGGAGGGAAGCTGGGGGAGGAAGAGCCTGAATTCATCATTCAACCCTACCAGTCATCCTTTAAAGGAAGCATACAATAAAACCTATGTGTCTGAGGGAACCCACTAGTGAGTGAAAAAATCCAGCAAACCAACCCATCTGCTAAAACAAGTCCCCTCCCAAAATTTCTGCTGTTCCAAGCAAATAATTTGCATATGTTTAAGAGGAGATTTTAAAAAAACACCAAAAAAAAGTGGAATTTTTCCCTTGTGAACAAAAACAGGCATTTGGAGTCTTTTATGTATAAATTCAAGCCATCCCAGGAAATCACACATTCCTTGATGCAAAATGAAACGAGAAATTTCCTTTTTCCCCCCGCTATCGTTGCTTCCTGCCTGTCTCCATCTGAAGGACCACATTGAGGACAACCCAAATTACTTTTTGTTGCTGCATAAGGCAAAGAGACATCCCCAGCCTGAGGCTCACAGACAGAAGACATCTCAACCCTTCCTTGTTCACTTGCTGCTCATCTCCCTCCCGCTGCAGCACGGCCACAGAGCCCACCAAGGCCTGTGCTCATAAAAGCTGCTGCTTGCACAGTCCCACCCTCGCCCCCAGTAACCACCTTGGCATTTTAAGCAAATCTAACCACTGTGCCCAAACACACCCAAATGATTTCAGAGAGCAGCAGTTTCTGAGGCAGCCTCGCACTGATGGAACGTTTCAGACCCAGCACTCTTTCAATGACACCAAGCCTTGCAGGTCCCCTTTGTGGCTTATTCAACAAAGTTACCAATCCCCTGTCTCGTTTTGAGTTTCTTTCTTTTCTACACCAGACCTAAAGGGGAGAATGCCTCCACCCATTTCTGTGAGTCTGAGACCAGGCTGAATACACTGCAGAAGAAAACAACATTTCTGCCCTTTTCTGCTGTGCAGAAAGCAAACAGGAGTGGTGCTCCTGTCCCTCACCCTTCCTCCCCTTGAGCCCAGCACACATCAACACCGATTCAATTTTCAGCACTAAAAGCTCAGCAAAGGCAGCTTTTTCCTCAAAATGTGAGGTGGTAACCACAAAGGATGTAGCACACCCTCTGCTCTGAAGGTGAGCAGTGAGGGATAATGAAGTCCATGCCTCATCCATCCCGGTTCCCACTAACCCAAGGCAGCTGAAAGGTGTAAGAGCTCTTACAGATTAATAATTTAACGATTATATATAACAGAACAGCATCATCTGACAGAGACAGCACTATAAACTATGTCAGGGTTTGCAGTAATTACTTCCCTCCCCCCCCCTTTCTCTGTAGCCAATAAAATGGCTAAGAGGGAATAAACCCATTCCTTATCACCAACAGCAGAGGCTCTGTGGACCCTCTCGCCGTCTCCTGGAGCACTGAATGCCAGATCCAAGCCGGATACTTCAGGAGCCTGATAGCAAGACATGGAGAAATTCTAATAAGGCTCCAGTTCTGGTTCACAAGGAGCAAGGGAAATGGTGTTAGGGACTGGGTATGTATGTCATGCACAGGGCAAAAGCCAGGCACTGCCTCCAAATGAGTCCAGCATGGTAGGCAGAAGGTAAAGGAGACAGTAAAATACAGTTTAAATTTTATTTCTGGATGGCTGCCTATCTTCTAGACAGCCAAGAGCCAGCCTCAAGAGAGACTGTTTGCACAGTTACTGAACTTAGCAAGCACTAAAAAGCTCACAAGAAAACCCTTCTCTGGGAGATTTTCAAACTAGGAGTGCTGGATACGCTTACAGAAACTTTCAGCATAAAGCACAGACCAATTTTGGATCAATTTTCATCCTTCCCTTTGATCTGTTTCCCCTGCTTTTACTGACCACTCCGATGCCACTCGACTGCTCGTCCAGCAGAGGATTCCAGCACTTCAGCACTGCTTTACCAGCTTCCATTTCACTCTGCAAGTCATTCACACCAGACCCTTCATCCAGTAATATGAGAACACTAACTAAAACAGGAAGGTATTGTTTGGGTTGTGATTCTTCTATAGGAAATGGAAACTGATACATATGGAAAGGTGCAAGAGGAACCTGGAAATCACACACATGCACACAAAAAACCAAACTAAAAATCCCCCTTAAGACCAAGAAAGTACTCAACACATTTCAGAATACAGAAGGAACCCATGGGCAACACTGCTTGCATTGTGAAGGGATGTTTCAAGGGAACCTATAGTGTTTCCAAAACCTGCACTATTTCTGGAGGGAAATCACAGCTCCATTAAAAAGACAAAAGAAAAGTCAGACCTGCAAGTCAGTCATTGCATGCATCGTCACAGGAAAATAAGCTGGAATAAGCAGTACATGAACTACCTTTTTGTGAACCTTCTAGGAAAATCCAGCTTTGTGGTACATGGCTGGCTGGGACACAGCACAGCCCAGCTGTGTGAGGGATTAAGCAAGAGGGAACAGGACTTCTACAAATCCACACTGTGATTATCTTCACACAGAATTTATAGACTGGGCTTTCAAGAGGGCTCAGCACTCAGCGGCTGCCTTTGGGGCACCAATCTGAATGGAGCTACTG